TTTTTTGGTCCGATTTGGAACACTACTTCAAGAACAAAGAAAAAGCTGACAGAGACAGCTCAACAAAACAGCCCTGAATTCTATAATATATTAGTTCAAAGAATCTATCAAGACTATAGCAACAAACCAACAAGAAACAAAAAGAGAAATAAAAGAAAAAAAAAAAAATGCAAGTTCAACAAGAGAAAAAACAAGCTGCTGAAATAAAGTCGAAGTTAGATATAGGTTGAAGCAAGAGACTTCAAGAACAAAGAAAAAACCGACAAAGGCAGAATAATAATTTAGATTTAAGGACTCTAATAATATATTTTAAAGTATCTGTCAAATTTACCCTAACATGCCAGAAAAGAAAAAGAAGAAAAATTAGAAAAGAAAAGCAAGACAAAAGCAAAAGACAAAATGTTCCTGGTCTTACAGAGGCTAAAGCACTAAACAAGATTCAAGAGGAATCAAGACCAAAAATCATATTTGCAACTTCAGTAGATTGGTTAACAGAAGTAATATATCAAATTAACATTAAAGATGATTCACAATATAACAAGAAAATATAGAAAAAGATGAAAAAAGATCTTTTGACGAAATGGATACATGGACAGAAGTTCCAATAGAACTTGAATACGAACTCATCGCAGAGCACAGTAACACCTAGACCGTGGGGTGTCAAGAATTGGAAAAAGAAAAAGAAAGACACATTATTAGGAATACTAAAGAAGATCTTTGTAGAACATCTTAAAAATCAGAAGATCTTTAACGAAATACAAAAAATATTCTTGGGAAAAAGACCAAGTTTTAAAAAAAAAAAGTAAGAAGACCAAGAAAAGAAGAAAAGAAGATTCCTATACCCAGAATACGAAAGAAAAAGAACTCGAGCAGACTGATCAAGATCTTGAAATGAAGAAATCGAAAGAAAACTTAAGGTATTTAAAGAAAAAAGAATGTATAGAAGAATATTCCTCGAAGAAACCGATAGATCAAGCCCTCAAGCAGAAGAAGAAAAGAAATACAAAGCTATAAACTGAGAAAAAAAAGTTATAGAAAAGATCAAGAAAAGACTCTCAAGATCCAGGTTGCAAATTGAAAAAGACAGGTTGAACTGGAAGAGAAGGAAAAAGAAAAAGAAATATAATTACGAATAAGAAAATTTTGGCAATATCCTCATATTAAAAGAAGAAATATCTTGGTTTATTCATAGAAAATTAGGTTTAGAACTTTGTTCAAAAGAGTTGGAGAGTTTTGAAAGGGAAAATTGCCAATTTAATGTAGTTAAAAATTTGTTTGTTCTGAAACCATCTTGTAATGGTTTTCTAGGCTAGCTTGGTATAGTCCTCTGGTATGGGCAATAGTCTTAACCAGTGAGGCAGACCGCACTTGGGCATCCTTAGAGGTAGTTGAGTGATATTGGATCTGTAACTTAGATAGTTTAATTGTATCTTGTGCAAATGTTTTGATCTAATAAAGATATCGGCGAGGCTACTAATACATGCAAAAAAAAATAAATAAATAAATATAATTTTATTTTAGTAAAATTTATAGTAATAATTATATTAATTTTTTTACTTTTTTAAAAATAAATATTAAAAAATAGTTTTATTTTAGAGTAAAACTAGTTTAGAGCTTTAATTTAAAAAAATAGTATACTGTTTGATTAATTATTTATTTTAATAAATGTAATTTTATTTTAGTAAATTGTATAGCAATAATTATATTAATATTTTTTATTTTTTTAAATACAAATTAAAAAAAGAATAAATGCTTATCTCGCAGGGTGCGAAGTAATTAAATCTAGCATAGCATATTGATATAAAACCGGATTGGCTAAAACTGTATAATTTACATATTTGGTAATAGAGCGAGATATTACAGTATCGCATTTCTTAATTTATTAAAAAAATAAATCACAACGAATAAATAAAGATTGCTAGAATTATTAATTGCATCCTGAAACAAAACAACTGCCGCTCGCACTGAAATAAACAGATCGCATCATATACGTTAAAATTGCATCGCGAAACAAAATCCAAAAATCGCCTTGTGAAAAAAAAGTCCTAAAAGTGCATTGTTAAACAATCATCTCCCAAAAAACGCTATAAACATATCGTGAAACAAGTAGACCCAAAATTACTCTACAAAAAAAAAATTCACAAAACGCATTGTGAACAATCAATATTTCATCACGAAATGCATATACCTTCAGATTTCTCTGCAGAACAATATCAAAGACTCCTCAAAATGAGCCCACTTAACCTTATCAATAATGATAATATTAGCGAGTTGGTCGAAAAATTTCGTAAGTTTCATAAATAAATTTACTGAGCCGTCAATCAAAACTTACCAGTACATACTTTTTAGTTACGTTTGATGATTACGAGTTGAATAATGCACCCACAACACAGGAAGAGTACATAGAACATAACGAAGATAGTGAAAATAATAAGCCCACAACGCAGATGGAGAATAGCGAACATAGTGAAAATAGTGAAAATAGTAAGCACTTAAAGCATATAAATACAAGCTTATATATATAAAACTAATAGACTTACATCAATAGATCCAATTATAGTCACTTCTGAAGAAATTTCTAAAAGCATTTATTTCACTACGTGGGATGAAGTAGAGGATTATCTTAACGACTATGGTGCTAGAAATGGTTTTGCGATAACTAAATATCGGGTAGAAAAAAGCAATTCAGGTCAAATAATTAAAAAAACCTTCGTCTGTGAATTTTCTGGAAAGTATAAATCCAAAAAAAAACTAGAAGCAGCTTTAAATGGAACACAAAGAAATATGAAAACAAAAAAAACAAATTGCAAGTGGCATATCAACTTATCTTTATCAGGAGCTTCTCAAATTTCGATCACAACATACGTTAATCAACATAATCATACCTTTGTTCCTGAAACCTGAGAATTTTCTGTAAAATATAGATCATTAACTCAAGAGGCGATTGATGAAGTTAAACTTATGACAAGGCATGCTAATTTGTTACTTTCTACACAAAAACGACTTCTGAAGGCTCGATTTCCAGACCTGAATTTTCAAGACCAGGATTTGGCGAATGTGATTCAAAAAGTAAAAAAGACAGCTGGAGTCAATAATGATGCATCGATTTTGCTTACTTCCTTAATGCAAAAAAAACTAGAGGACCCACGTTGGGTTGTTGATTTTGAACTGGACCAAGACAATCGCTTAGTTCGTCTCCTTTGGATGTCTCCTGGCCAGGTTGATCTTTGGCTCAAGTATTATGATGTCGTTGTTAATGACAACACGGCAAAAACTAATCAGTACCAAATGCCATTGGGAATTTTTGTAGTAATTGATAATAAATGCAAAACTCGCCTCGCCTGCCAAGTATTGATGAGTAACGAAACCGTTGATACGCATGTTTGGATACTTGAGCATGTCAAAAAAGCCACGGGAAAAGCTCCAATCGTTATGTTTACAGATGGAGATCCTGCACTTGATACAGCTATTCCAATTGTTTTTCCTGAAACATATTCAGCCCATTGTATCTTTCATATCGCACAAAATTTACCCAAAAACTTAAAAGCGAAGTTGGGCAACAATTGGGATAATTTCATAAAAAATTTTTATAAGTGTCGTAATAGTTTATGCGAGCCTCTATTCAAAGAAAGATGGAACAAATTACTTACTGATTTTCCAATAGCAAAAGATTATCTTTTACATGTATTGGATCCAAAATGTCGTTCATGGGCTCGTGCTTATCTTCACCGAGTATTCACAGCGGGTATTGAAAGCACATCAAGAGTTGAAAGTTACAATTGGGTCATTAAACAACAATTAAAAGCGAACAGTACTCTATGCGAGCTTGCTGATCGACTCGACACAAGATTAAAAGAAGAAGTGCAATGGGGCCAGTTTCATGATTATAAACAAGCAATTACAACAAATACCATTTCTATTGCTGGACAAGATTTGTTTCCTGAAATAGTAAACGTTATCAATGAATATCTCACTAAACCTATTGCTAACGCAATAAAAATAGAAATATCACAATGTCTATTTATCAGTGCAAAAAAGATCGAACCTACCATTGAAGAATTACATAGTAAACAAGTATGTACATAATTTTTTTTTTTTGTACATAAAATTCAAGCTTACCTAATAGTATACCTTGTATTATAAGGAAAATAATCAACTAGTA